CCCTAGTTGACTCTACCCCTAGTTGACTCTACCCCTAGTTGACTCTACCCCTAGTTGACTCTACCCCTAGTTGACTCTACCCCTAGTTGACTCTACCCCTAGTTGACTCTACCCCTAGTTGACTCTACCCCTAGTTGACTCTACCCCTAGTTGACTCTACCCCTAGTTGACTCTACCCCTAGTTGACTCTACCCCTAGTTGACTCTACCCCTAGTTGACTCTACCCCTAGTTGACTCTACCCCTAGTTGACTCTACCCCTAGTTGACTCTACCCCTAGTTGACTCTACCCCTAGTTGACTCTACCCCTAGTTGACTCTACCCCTAGTTGACTCTACCCCTAGTTGACTCTACCCCTAGTTGACTCTACCCCTAGTTGACTCTACCCCTAGTTGACTCTACCCCTAGTTGACTCTACCCCTAGTTGACTCTACCCCTAGTTGACTCTACCCCTAGTTGACTCTACCCCTAGTTGACTCTACCCCTAGTTGACTCTACCCCTAGTTGACTCTACCCCTAGTTGACTCTACCCCTAGTTGACTCTACCCCTAGTTGACTCTACCCCTAGTTGACTCTACCCCTAGTTGACTCTACCCCTAGTTGACTCTACCCCTAGTTGACTCTACCCCTAGTTGACTCTACCCCTAGTTGACTCTACCCCTAGTTGACTCTACCCCTAGTTGACTCTACCCCTAGTTGACTCTACCCCTAGTTGACTCTACCCCTAGTTGACTCTACCCCTAGTTGACTCTACCCCTAGTTGACTCTACCCCTAGTTGACTCTACCCCTAGTTGACTCTACCCCTAGTTGACTCTACCCCTAGTTGACTCTACCCCTAGTTGACTCTACCCCTAGTTGACTCTACCCCTAGTTGACTCTACCCCTAGTTGACTCTACCCCTAGTTGACTCTACCCCTAGTTGACTCTACCCCTAGTTGACTCTACCCCTAGTTGACTCTACTAATAATTATTATAAAAATAAATAATACTTATTATTTATTAACTAATAATTTAGTATACTAGGAGTAGAGTTCACTAGGGAGTAATTCTCACAACTTAAGAATTGACCAGATTTTGTTTTAGGTTTTGTGTTAAAGTTTAATGTTCAGTTACAAAACATCTGGTTTTAGGGTTAAGTTTGAGGGAGGGTTGCTATACAATTAGGTTTCTTATAAAGACATGAGCTGCGTCCCAAATGGCACACTATACACTATGCACTCATGCACTATGTACTTATGCACTCACACACTCAACAGGATAGTATATGTATGTAGTGTCGTCCCAAATGGCACACTTATGTATTTTTACTAAGCGGAAATTCAAACCGTTTCCCTGAAGACGTTTGACTGTTGCCAAATCAGTGAAATAAACGACGTAATTATCAAATAATACCTGCCGTGAGTATTGCTGCATTCACCATCGGGTGGCGCTATAATCACTCTCGTAGGAGAATTTTGCTTTCACCATCCAAAATAAATAAAGTTATTCAACATGTGCGCCCGATTGCTCCGCCCCTTCCGCTACGTAAGCAAACCTGCGGTCGTTGAGTGCGTGAAGTGTCCATCATTACACACTTCATTTTAGCGGCTGAATGAGTGCATCATCCGGGTAATTAAAGTGCACTTATTATTTTGAGAGTTTTCAATGTGAACACACTACTTACACTATTTATACTACAAAATGGCGTAAAATAGTGCATAAGTATGCGATTTGGGACACAGCTTCGGTTTCTTCAATGCTTTAAGTGATTTGCTGCTTGAGCAGTTAGTTTAGGATTGGTTAAGAAACCCTTGTGGTTAGTGTTAGGGTTAAGACAGTGGTATATTCTAGTCTCCAAAAAAAGTGGATAAGGAATAAAATCTGGTTAAGACAATGCAAGAAAGAACTGAACATTGAGCAATCTTTGTGAAAGATCCATGATCGGTTTGTTGATGGTAATAAATTCTTCAAGTGAATTAGTATCCAAGTAGATGACATCAATTCAAGATAACAGGCTAGTGTTCAAAGAGGAAAGGGGAAAAAAATGGTTAAACTGATGAGAGTTTTCAAAGATTGCACTAAGGAAATCCAGATGACTAAAACATAGATACAAATGAAACCATGATGTTTATTAAAGATCCAATAGATGAGCTGACATTAAAAATTATCCAAATAATCACCAAACCCATTTTGGTTGGTTAAAGCGGTTTCAATTTATAAAAAGTATGAACATGATCCAAATACATGCCAAGCTTCTTTCTGTTGTTTAGGGGTGGGGGTTGGTTAAGGCTGTTAGGTTTAAGACAGTGGTATATTCTGGTCTATAAAACAGTAGAAGAAGATTCAAAATGCTGGTTAAGACAATGCAAGAAAGAACTGAACATTGAGCAAGCGTGATGGAAGATCCATGATTGGTGTGTGGATGGGAATAAATTGATGATTCAAGAGACATAGTATCCAAGTAGATGACATCGATCCAAGATTGTTAAACTTGACTTTTCAATAAGGAAATCCAGATGACCAAAATGTAGATACAAAATGAATCTATTCAAAATGCTGGGCAATAAAGATGATCCAAGAATAGTTTAATTTATCCCTACTTTTAGATTAAGTTCCTAAAATTTACAATAGCAGTCAAAGCCTCTTTAAAAAATAAACTGCTTAATGCTAAATTAGAAAGCAGGTTTTAAAAGCAACTTTTCATCAAAGATACTATAAAAATGTCATCTGCTCAACTTTAACAAAGAAATAACCGCTTTCCCACTATCTTGCCAAACTGTTGCAAGAACCCTTCGGTACAGTTACATTTGTTTCTCCACTGAGCCTGGAACCATGTAGCACGTTTACAAACCGTTCTCAGCCTGGAATTCTAAGCACAGTTAGACAAGTGCTGAACTGTGCTGATAGATTCTTTGTTTATGTCTGGGCGTTTCCCCAAGCTACCACAGCTGGCTCAGAAGCATGCTAGCCAGACATCCACAAGTAAACACTTCATTTAATAAGAAAATTACACAGGTTAAACAGTTTAAAAAGGGGTTTAAACCATAGAGCAGTCTCTGGAAGAGAAGTGAATAACTCATAACCCAGTTATTTCATTGACTTATTTTATACATTATTTTCTAACCAGTCATCTAAAATAATGAAAAAGCCTGTTATTTTATAAATGGCTAGACTTTTTCCTGCTGCGCATCGAATAAAGCAAATAAGAAATGCTCATCATCGAAGCCTATGGTAGGAAGTCAACTTTCAATAATTAAACACTGTCCAAGGTACTGTTGTATTGTTTCTTAGTGTATATATGCTCTAATAAACTAGTCGAATGAATTTAATAAATGTCAGTATTGCTCTTAATCACTAGGTTTGACATGTTAATAAATGAGCAATTTTCAGCATTTCAGCAGTAGGCCATTATATGATTCAGTTTACACAAGTTTGACATTTATGGGGCTGTGTAACGTTTGTGTTTTGTTCCATGATCTTAAATATATACTGGGTTCCCATGCAAAAATTTTCTAAAAAATGTCAAGCTGATAAAAAGTGCTTTAAATCCTGATGCATTTTCACATTTGTTTTTCACTTGCTGCATTCATTATTTCATGTTTGAATACTTAACAGCCATTGTTTAAAACAAGTGTCAAACCCAGTTCCAAAAGGGCCACAGCTCTGCACAGTTTAGTTCCAACCCTAATTAAACACACCTGATCAAACCAAGTCCTTCAGGCTTGTTTGAAACCTACAGGCAAGCGTTGGCGCAGGGTTGGAACTAAATTCCTGGAGGGCTGAAGCCCTGCACGCTTGAGTTTGACACCCCTGGTTTAAAGGGTTATATATTTTACCATCAAAAATGTAGCACGTTATACAATCAACTTATAGATTGTAAAAAATTAGTGTAGTGCCATTAAAGTGCCCGCTCACTTTTTACAAGGCTCGTCCAAAATATATTTCTGCTATTGTAATACAAATGCACTATTGTTGCATTATCATAGTTTAATTTTATGTCAAGTTCAGAGATCTTAAATACTTATTCCCCCTGCAAACATTTTCAATTGTTACATGTCATTTCTCCCCTTAAATAAAATTTAGCCAGAGGCGCGCAACATACGACCTCTACAAAAGGTGCTGTAACATGTACCTATATGCAGCACCCCAATATGATAGAGCGGCATAGCAGCGTTTAGTCACTTGGTTGCTTTTGTTTTTATTAACTACAAAGTTTCTCAGCTATTAAGTTTAATTGAACAAAATGAGCAGTTTGCATTGAAACATTACACAACCCATCAGTAGTTGCCTTTAAATGCAAAGAGCTTTTGCAGCATGAGTGGAAAATAACCGTATTAGTGCTGCCTGGTCTAACAATAGTTAAGGGTTTAAACCATAGATCAGTCTCTGTAAGAGAAGTAATTACTCCGTTATTTCATTGACTTATTTTA